AGGGGGTGTGGTAACTTGTAAATATGGTGTATATATCAATGACAATGATGCATGCATGTCTCTCAATCTTTCTTTCGTGGAGTTGGTGAGATTATGACTAGCTAATCGTATAGCTAAGCTGAACTTAACAACTCCTTTCTAATCACCGAAAAAGACAATAAGCAAGAAGCCAATTACATTGACCTACAAATTTAAAGTGCATCATGGAATGAAATTTTGTACAAGGATTACTCTTCTTATTATTACGTAAGTCTTCAATTCAACAACCTCTTAATCTTGTTGTTCACATTGTTTATCACTCACTCACGCTCCCAAAGGATGTCATTGCCAATGCCATTGGTCTGCCTTTTTATTTGGAAACCAAGAAAGCCATCTCGTCAAGTAAGTTAAAGACTTTTTATTACCATTACTTGTAATCTTAATTAATTATAGTCTTTACTTGGTCAAGGTCTGCCTTATAACTTATAAGTTACGTCAAGGCTCATTCTGGGTTTTGCCCAAACCTCATTCCAGCTTGGGCTTTATCATTTGGCTCACAATGGGCCGGCCAAATTGAATTCGACACAATCATGAAGTATACATGTCGACACAGCCCACAGATAGGCCCCAGCTCAAGCTCACACAACTCAGATCTAAATATGAACCCAAAGGTGCATGATCATCATTAGACAAGGTGGGCCTAGAGTGGACCTTTGCCAGCAGTGGAAAATCATTACGGCTTCTGCCAAAAGTTAACTTTTTTATTTGCCAAAGATATCTATTAAACGCCAACATGATCTAATCTAGTGGAAAAAGAATCTTGACTTGTAGACCAATGGTCTCAGGTTCGAACCCCCCCTATGATCTCAGTTTTGAAAAAAGAAGGAAATAAAATAAAATATAAGTAGAAGAATATATAGGATGTGCATTTTTTACACTTTTGTGAACTCTCTCATAAGTCTTAATCTAATTCTATCAATCAAAAGTGTGACAATACGAAGATGGAATTCGATTTAGGCCACTTGTTCTATTATAACAAAAGATAACTTCAGCAGAATGTTCTATAGTGAGGGTATCATATAATAGATGCGGACCTTCTACATAATTTTGCCACTTTAGCATCGTTTGTGTGTATATAGCGTGTTGCGCATGCGCATGGGCATGCTATGCCAAAAAGTTAGGCAACAAGAGAAACCAAGCAAGCAGGGGAGGGGGTCTTAGATTCTGAGAAGTTTGCGGTGTTGTTCACCACCCATTACTCTTGATCTTGATATTTGAAGGCTTGAAGCTATTTTAATCTTTTAAGGTATGTAGCTGGGCCACTGTTTGATATATCTGCAATGCCACCGATGGGCCATAGCTTGTGATCCTCTATATCTTCATTATTCCACGTAAAACCATGATATCCACATCTTTGAAAAATTAGTAAGGCTTCATTTGGTCATAGTCTTGGTCACCCACTGCACTGCACCCATATTAGCTAGCTAGGGCCTAGACCACTATGCATGGAACACATCAAACGTACCCACTTTATAATAAGTATCCCATTCCCAGAGTTTGCTTCAAGTTTCAGGTTTGCCATTTTGATGAAATAGCATCCATGCATCATGCACGCAACACGAAATCACTAAATCCTCCTAACTTTCCCATGGATGAAATCGAATGGGCACTTGCTGTTCTCGAATAGCATTTAACTGATCAAACTAAAGCCTGAAAGCGCCCCGCTTGGCTAGCTGTTGAATGAATGGCAACAACAAGGATATATAACCAGAAACATTATTTTGAACCGTTGACTGTCCTAATTTTGAGGTCTCTATAACACAATTTTGAGGTCTACCACACAGTACCTTCCTGTTGTTGAAGTAATTTTCAGTAGCTGTCTGCAGCAGGCTGAGCATGGTTGGGCCGGGCACATCAATTCCATCAGTGTTCTTGGCTTTGGGTAGTCGAGTCGAATGATAAATGAGGGTAGAAAAGCGTACACTGACTCTAGTCTCTCTCTCTCTCTCTACAATTACAGTCTTGTAGATACACACATAGATTCAGGTGATCTGAAGAGATCTCAAAGAAGATTTGAAGCTAGAAAGCAAAGAAGACTCATGGGCCATGCATGTCAATAAAAGATTACAAAATATTTACTTTTGAAGATGCCACGTGCTGTCAAAAAAGTGAATTGCATCAAACGCAGAATTCAAACTTCTTCAGACTTTTCATCAATCTGTAACATCAAACACAGTTAAGCTTTCAATTCTTTAATTTTCAAATGTCTATCTTTCAACATAATCAAACACAGTTGGGTTGGGTTGGGTTGGATTGGGTTTGGGTGGATATCATTTACTATAGAAATAGATTTATTTATTTATTTATTTTCAATCAATATCCTCATATTATATGTCAGCCAAAAGACCAAAAGGCCAAAGAGGAAAAGAAGAGAAAAAAACTAAATTTTTTTGCTTTCAAATTTGGTGTGCTGAGCCTGAGATGAGATGGATGATATAGATATGTAATAGGTAATAGGTAGCTCACACCGACTTGATATGAATAGTTTTCATAGTCTCATAGATAGAAATTAGAATGGATATGTGGTGTAAAATAGTGATCGGGACGCCCACAAGTCACAGATTCACACTCACACTCGCAACACAGACAAACACAAATCCTTTCTTTCGCATGCAGAGTAGACAGACTCTTGTCAATCTGCCAGATGATCCCTCCATAAGTTTCCAGCTATAGATAATACAGAGACCCTTCCCCTTTTCATATTTACCATAAAAAATAATAATAATAAGTTTTTTAGCCTAAAACGCTTTCGAAATATTAATTGGGACCAGTTCTTGTGAGCATGAGGAGGTTATACCTCTGGCTTTTCTGACCACACAAATTGCACCAACAAGTTTCGAAATGATTGCACGGCCCCCCATGTTCTGTGGTAATAATTTTTTGTGCAAAAACCATGCTTTGCACACTAAAAAAGTGTTTACTTCCTTAATCAGCCTGCTGGTTGCAACTCATGAGCTGGTGGTGGCGGGCGAATGCCAAATTGCCAAATTGCCAATGCAAAAGTATGGTGGTGACCACAAACATTAAAGCTCACTTGCGAAAAGCGCACCATTTGTTGTAAGTCTGCGCAGCCATCATTAGCCTCCTATATATCTTAAACACATTAAGTAATTATATTATTGTATAATTTATATTTTAATCACGATTATAAAATAAAAGAAGATTTTACTGCAAGCTCGTCATCATTCCAAAGATTTTAGTCAAATACGCGTTATAATAGAGTGCGTGTGACTGTGTGAGTTCAACTAATTAAAAAGAATCATGATAACTTTTACTTGATAACCTCGGATAAGCAAAATATTAATATTCTTTATGTGAAAAATCGACAATTAAATATTATTGCAAAGGCCAAGGTATGCCACGATTGACCTCGACTAAAATGAATAAACAAAAACAGTAAAGGAGATTAATTAAACATGTGGTAACGTGGCAAGATATTGTTGATCCACGTCAATAATTTTTCCATAAATAATGTCTGAAATTTATTTTCAACAAAGACAAACACCATCTTTTTCCAAGTTTGGAAGCTGCAGTTAGGGTGCTAAACAACTCATCGTGTTGCACTAATAACAATTGAACTAATAATAATCAAATATTAATGAAAGAAAAAGTATTCTTGTATGACTACGTAAGTTATGTACGTTGTGTTGAATGACAAGATGAGTTTTTAAATTATTAGAGTGGCTGCTGAAACATATGAATAGGAATAGGAGATGGACGGTAGAGGAGAAGACAAAAAATAAATTAAAGTGATTAGGTGCTGAAAAATACAAGACACGCTATGTATAATTAATGTTTAGTTAGTTAATTAGGTGAGCAAATTCTTTGCATCGGTTCAGATATATGCATGCAGTGCAAGTGATGGGTGAGACCGTGAGAGGTGTTTGAAATTTTGAATTAACCTTTGTCGCGTGGACTAATTATAATTAATTAACAAATGCACTTTTTTTCATTTTTTTTTCTCGGATAAACCAAACGCTAATAAACGTGGTTAATAATATCCAGTGATGGAGTCATAATTAGTGGTACTAGGTCTCCGTGTTTGCCCTGGCACGTGTGGCTGATGTGGCAATTGTAGACACAAAGCAAACACCACTCGCTTTAAAGTAAAGTAAAGTAAACAGAGTGTAGTTGACTTTGGCCCACTTCTCAAAGACCACCCAAACCCAACCCAACACCGTCTTTCATCTCATCTGCAGCATTCTGCATCAAGAGAAGAAGATAATCAAACGGCTGCAGAACGCTGGCAACACGTGTCCCTCCCGATTCTAAACTGACTGTTGTCGTATGCCCCAACGCAGGAGAATCTTCCCACACGTCACCTGCCCCCTCCTTTTTTTTTATATATATTTTATATTTTATTTTTTCACCAAGGACGTAGGAAATTCAATTTTGACCAAAAGCGTGCTAGAGGTTTGATGAGAGGTTGAGAAAGTGCACAAAACGACGGCGTCGCGGCCTATCAGGTTTTGGCCGACGGGGTAGGTCCCACCTAAACACCCATCCCATCAAAAAGAGCCAATTGGATTTGTGCCCACTGCCCACAGTCGCATCAGCCCCCTAGTCTTAATGTTCTAGTTTTCGACCATGAGTTTGTATCCCGGAACGACGTCGCCTTCCCCAACCTAATATGTGGTGTGTGACCATTTTACGTAGGAAAGCCTGGCATTTGTTGCCTTGTGTTGTGACTCCTCCTTTTTTTCTTTTTCTTTTTTTCTGCAGAGACAAGTTTTTATATAAAAAAAAAACAGAACAGTCTAAATTTCTTTCTTTCTTTTTGTTTTGTATCCAAGCATACTCTAATTAAACTAATTTATAAAAACAGGCCAACTCACTTTCCTAATCAACTAGCCTAATTCATAATTAATTACCACTACACAGAAGACAGCACCATTTTAGTGTTTGTAAAACATATAGTGACAGAGACAGAGACATAGACATAGACATACAGTCATATACACATGACATATGACAGAGAGACCCTTAAAAAATAAATAAATCCCACTGCCTCATCTCCAATCCTCTCCCTCTCAAATTCCCAATTCCTACTTCCTCTACACCATGAGCTTCTTCTCTACTCAACAATACTAGTTCAAAAATTAAAAAAAATCTACCAGTACCAGATAAAATCAAACTATATATATATTGTGTAAAGGTCTCAGCTTTGGCTGATTTCCCATCCACAGCCAGAATGGTTTCTCTACAAGATTCTCATTCCAGCTCCAACCACTTCCCTCCTCACACCCGAAACTTCTACTCTCCCTCCTCCACCAAAATCCACAGGCAAACAGGCCGTTCCATGCGCACCATTCGCTCCAACATCTACCATGACGATCAATCTCGAAACTCCTTCACCACCGAAAGATCGTCCTTCGTCTCCGAGAACTTGACCGATTCCGTCATCGACATGCGTCTCGGCGAGCTCGCCTTGCGCACCCACGGCTCCGCCTCCAAGTCCGCCTCCTCCGACGAAGAGTTTCTCCAGCTCTCCCAAGCCTTCAGCGATTTCTCCGCCTGCAGCAGCGACATCTCCGGAGAATTACAGAGACTCGCTACTTTGCCGTCGCCGGAAAATGAGCCTACCTCCGAAGCCGAGCCGGAGGTGCCGGAGGAGCCCTGCCAGGGGTTTTTGCAGAGGGAGAACTTCTCCACCGAGATCATCGAGAGCATTTCACCGGAGGATCTTCTGCCGACGGTCAAGATCTGCGTCGACGGCCTCCAATCGCCGTCGATTGCCATCAAGCAATCTGCTGCGGCCAAGCTCAGGCTTTTAGCGAAGAACCGGGCGGACAATCGCGCTTTGATAGGCGAGTCCGGTGCGGTCCCTGCTTTAATTCCTCTGCTCCGGTGCAGCGACCCCTGGACTCAGGAGCACGCCGTCACGGCCCTTCTCAACCTTTCTCTGCACGAATCGAACAAGGCGATAATCACCAATGCCGGAGCTATAAAATCGTTAGTGTACGTGCTCAAAACCGGGACGGAGACCTCGAAGCAAAACGCTGCGTGCGCGCTCTTGAGCCTGGCCCTAATTGAAGAGAATAAGAGCTCAATCGGAGCCTGCGGGGCCATCCCGCCGTTGGTTTCGCTGTTAATAAGTGGATCCACGAGGGGCAAAAAAGACGCCTTGACGACCCTGTATAAGCTCTGCTCAATAAAGCCCAACAAAGAGAGGGCAGTGAACGCCGGAGCTGTGAAGCCGCTGGTGGCGCTAGTGGCGGAGCAGGGGACGGGCTTGGCGGAGAAGGCGATGGTGGTGCTGAGTAGCTTGGCTGGGGTTGAGGAGGGGAAGGAGGCCATTGTGGAGGAAGGTGGGCTTGCGGCGCTTGTGGAGGCCATTGAAGATGGGTCGGTCAAAGGGAAGGAGTTTGCGGTGTTGACGCTGTTGCAGCTGTGTACTGAGAGTGTGAGAAACAGAGGGTTGCTGGTGAGGGAAGGAGGGATTCCACCTTTGGTTTCGCTTTCGCAGACTGGGACTCTTAGAGCTAAGCACAAGGTATTTTGATCATTTCATGAACTTTGGGATTTCATGGTTTGCTTTGTGTTAATGCGTTTATAATTGTATAGACGAAATGGTGGTCCTAGTCTTTGAATTACAGATGGTTGATTTGAATTGGGGATTGAAGCCAATTAGTATTAGTGTGCGAATTTTCATGCATTTTGTAATGCTAAGTCTGCATTTGGATGCTGCGTGTTTATGTCTTCACGGAGCTGGCTTGATGTATATTGGGGTTTGGTTGTTTTTGCAGGCTGAAACGCTTCTTGGGTATCTGAGAGAACCGAGGCAAGAAGCGTCCTCTTCAGCCCTTTAGAGAAGAGAAGAGAAGAGAAGAGATGTACTGGTGGTACTGGTGGTGGTACTGGTACTGGTACTAATTAGAGAAGAAATTATACTAGTACGTCTTATGTGGTTCAGTGTTTGGTTGCACTTGTATATAGGAATTATTGTTGTTTCATGGTTTTGTACAGTGTGGTTGAGAAGCTAGGAAGAATATGATTGTACAAGGAAGAGATTAGAGGAAGCTAGTGAGCAAGAAACTGACTTTTAGATGTATGATTTTTAACTAGGTTTTTGGTTGGGTATCTTGTTTCTTTCTTATCCCTCTTTTCTGTTATTGACTTGGTTTTTTTGTAGGGGTGGAAGTGGTTTTGGGTTATTTTCCTTGTGTTTTGTCTGGGAAACTCAAATTTAAGAACTCAAAGGGTTATTTTTACTGATTGTCTGGTTTTCCTTGTAATGATAGATTGTCTAAAACTTCTCTCTTCTTTTCAATATTGTGTTTTAAGTTCTGAATGATGAAATTGATCCCCATCGGATTCGTCGTCCTTCAAAGCATAATGTGTGTTTTATACCTTGCTTAGTAGTGAATGCAACTTTATACTTTTGCCTAGATGCCAGTACAGGAAGCTCATCTCTTGAAGATTTTATCCTTTATTCTCCTCATATTTGGCAATTTTCTCGCCAGCCAAACAGCAGGCTATTTAATTTTATGAAAGTAAAGAGAAAAAAGGGACAGAGAGAGGGCAGAGAGCCCTTGACATGCTGCTTGTCTTTGATGTAAAGTAGGTCAGCTGCTATGCGAGATACCATCACCACCTGTCCTGCATGCAAATGCAATTGATTCATTCATCTGGCAAACCCAAATCCAATGGCCACCAACCGATCCAATCCAAACCCCACCAAACCAAAGATTTTGAATACTTTGTTTATAAATCCTTGTCCATAATAATCATGCATTAGCTGGCGGAGCAGCTGTTTGCTTGTGTTGTTTGTTTGGATGGTTGCAATCTCATATTTTAAAAAGTCAGTGAATTACGAGGTGTCGGTGCGCCTTTTGCGTCAAAGTGTACGCGGGTCCAATCTCCAATCCTTGAGTGTTTCTTGTGTTTTGCATGCCTTTGCCTTTGAGCGAAATGTGATGTGATGGTACACGGTATGTCATGGTCTCTACAATCGAACCATTTAGTTCAGTTGGCCTCAAGTTCCAATCTTCCTCCTCTCAGACAAGAGATTATCTTTAAGACTATCATTGGTATAAAAATATATATATACAATCGAACAAACAAGAGATTATCTTTCACTAATTATTCTATTCTCACGTGTCTACAACATTCATCACTAGCATATTCTCAAGATAAAAATAAAAGGGAGATAAAAAAAACTATAGCATAAAAATAAAAGGGAGATAAAAAAAACTATAGCATAGTGTAATCGACCGTATTATTATTAAATGACATGACATGTACACATCAATTGTTACCCGACTAATGATGTGAAAATATGGTCCCTATTACTCCTCAACTTTGGCTTTGCCTTTGGTGTCCTTGGGAGCAAATAGTTTAGGTTTGAAGCCTTTCTGAAGCAACTTCTCAACTTCTTCAAATTGCATTCCTTTGGTTTCAGGAACCAGGAAGTAAATGAATACAAGTCCAATTAAAGAAAATCCAGCAAATAGTAGAAATGTTCCGGCAGAACCCAGAGCTTTGGTCAGGGTTAAGTATGTCTCACTGACTATGAGATTGGCTGTCCAGTTTGAAACTGCAGCAATCCCTCCACCTATTCCTCTGTATCTCAGAGGGTATATCTCTGAGTTCACAATCCAGGGTACGGTTCCCATTCCAGGCGCATACATAATAATGTACAATCCCAGTAAGATCACTGCAAAGATTCCAATTTTGCTGGGACAACCTTTGCTGTACCACGTACGACGGTCCTCGCGACACGAATCCCTGATATTATCATTGGCAGCCAAGCAAGCTCCCGGGGCGAGCTGACAACAATTAAGGGAAAAACAAATGGATTAGTTGAGGTCAAATCTTTAATTTATGTTAAATAAAAGGCTCACTAGTTAGTTGTGCGCTTACATCCTTCACTTTGCTAGAACAGAAGGCGCAGTCTTGTTTCAAACATGTCATGCAGTTCCATGATGCAGGGTTAGAAGCAGAGCCATAAGCCGGACATGTAGAGTTGTTGCCAAACCTTGCAGATTCCAAATTACTAATCTTGGGAGAATTTTCTGCCGCATAGTAAAACACCCCAGCTAACACCACCAGGCAAGTGATGATCCCAAACATAGATATAATCATCAGCCTTCTCCTTCCATATCTATCTACAAAGCACATGCTGATGAGGGTGCCAACCACGTTGAGACCGGAGGTGATCAAAGACAGCGCCATAGCCGTCTGGTTGGACGCGAACCCGGCAAATTGAACGATGGTTGGGCTGTAATACATGACAGTATTAATTCCTACAAATTGCTGAGCTACTTGCACAGTGATTCCTGCATAGAGTCCTCTTCGGACCACGGTGTTGCTCAATGCACCCTTTAGTTTTCCGAACACGCCATTTCCAGCTGTTCCTACCTCAGCCTTTTCAAATTCCACGGATTCATGCAAGGCTTTCAGTTCATCATCCACCTCTTCGGCAGGGTAGATTTTCGCTAAAATGGCCCTAGCTTCATCCACCTTGTTCTGTTTTCATTAACACAAACAAAACCAAGAACAAGTTATATATTTGGCATACTGAACATAATATGCTTATGTCATTGCTAGACTGTGAATTCAGACAATTTATTGATCGCGTTTGTCCAAATTCAGAGTTTGACAACATAAGCACAAGCATGCATTTATGTTACGACGACGTATAACTAGCTACTATGATCAGCTCACCTCTCTGTAGAGCCATCTGGGAGACTCAGGAAGCGACAACATCAATATGAACTGAACCACAGCTGGAAGTCCTGCAACTCCAAGCATCCAACGCCACGTTCCAGGAGCTTTCGTGAAGGCCAGATTGATGAGGTATGACAGGAATTGTCCTCCTGTAATCAACATACCGTTTGTGCTAACAAGAGCTCCTCTGATTCTATGAGGAGAAGCTTCCGAGATGTAAAGGGGTGCGGTCATGGAAGCCATTCCAACTCCCACACCAACTATAATTCTTCCAATGATGATCACCCACGGAGCTGGAGCCACAGCCATAACTATTGCACCCACGAAGAACACCACGTCCGCGATCAGGATTGATTTTTTCCGGCCAAGGGCATCGTTCATCCATCCACCAAATGCAGCCCCAATAATGGCGCCTGCAACTGCCATACTCACTATGGTCTCCTGCAGCCATGTTTTCCTGTCAACTTCGCGAAAGTCCTCACGAATGTATAGTAATGCCCCGGAGATTACACCTACAGCGCCACACCAATAACAACACATACAATTAGTGCATAGACATTTTTCCTTTGAATGAATTCATTGTTGGTATAAATATAATTGAGATTTTAATTACCTGTATCGTAACCGAAAAGGAGGCCTCCAATGCCGGCAGAGAGCGCAAGACGCATAATGTAAGGCGTCTTCCATGTTGTCCTCCAGCACTCTGTGAACTCTGTTTTACTAGAAGGGTGGGCTCCCCCCTCCACCATTTTCTTCTTCTTCTTCTTCTTCCAAGCAAATCAGTGCTCGCTGAAAATTAATGCAACAAGCAACCAATGCATGCATGCAGTGGTTCAGTTTCTGTATTTGAAATTACAAATATCAATCAATCCCTTGCTAATCCTATTAACATGGCCGTACTTCTTCTTGATATATACGCATTGGAAGAAGAATTTAGTTGGTAGGGAAATGGATAAAGACTCATTGACCATCATACTGTCAGCCTTAGTTACAAAACAATCCTAAATTAAAGCCTCCACACGCATTTTCTTATCTGTCTTCAGTTTTTACATCACAAAAATAGCTGTTCAATCTCAACATGGAGAACTAATTTCGATTTGACACGAAAATGGAAATAAATACATTAGCATGCCAATTTTCCACCATATAACTATATACATGAATGTATCTCCACATACAGAATACATATACCATATGATATGTGTCTTACCAAATGACTATTTGACTTTTGTTGTTGCTGGTGTTGTTGAGCTCCTGTTTCCTCGGGTCTCTGACCGCTCCGTAGAAGCACCTTTGAAGCTGCTTCTTTAAAGATTGATGTTAAAAATTCACCAAAGAGATTGCTGGTGTTAAAAGTCCTAATTTGGAAGAAGAAGGTTTGGGGGTCCTTGTAATGTCTATAATACTATACCTAGTTTTGACAAAGTGGAATTCTCTAGGCTCAACACTTTTCTCTCTAACGCCTCACTCTCTGTGTTTTCTTACATGCCCTCAAATGTCGCCAATTACTGACCACTATATAGTGCATTGACCGATTTCTGTTGAGACCCATGTCGCCCATTAGCCATGCAACAAACTATTTTTAGACATTCAGTAGAGCATATTTCCAAATACAATTTCTTCTTAACTGTAGATGTGATGTCCGCTAAACTCTCTCATTTTCCAAATACAGTTTCTTCTTAACTCTCTCATTTTCAAGGATTGGATTAAGGTCCACTAAACTCACATATAATTTCCTTAAATATGGCCAACTTATAAAAATATTTATGCTGACCCCAAATTATTCAAAGAAGATACGAACCGGACAGGATTCGAAAAAATAGAAAAATAATAAAAATCATGTCAAGAATGGGATTCGAACCCATGCCCTTTCGGACCAGTACCTGAAACTGGCGCCTTAGACCAACTCGGCCATCTTGACATTGTTGTTGATCCCTCCAACAAAAACATTCAAATAGCAACTGAATATGGGGAAAATTTGGTCTGCATAGGAAGTTCTGTATTTTAGGCCTTTGGTTTTGATTGGTCGATAATCTACGTACTTCGGCTCATTGGACCTCTCTTTCTCTCTATACGCCCCAATTTAGTTTAAAGTTATGCATGCAAAAATATTACTTTGGCTTTATGCATCCATGATTTCTTTAACTGTAATGACTTCTGCTTTTACTGTGCTCTTTCCCCATTGCAAATATGGAAGTGGAGTTTTGAACTAGACGAAAAGTCCTTCATATTTTGACCATATGCATTATTTGACACCAGCATTGGCTGTTGCTGCTTTGGTCCAAAAATTTGATTTTAGAGATTGAAAAAAGATTGTTTTAGAGTACATTGAAGAGAACGTATATCAGAGGACTGAAGAGACTTGTATTGCTTGACTCAAGAAGATTCAACATTCTTGCTTTGCTTTTCCTTTGAAGCAAATGGTTTGGGTCTAAAGCCTTTCTGAAGCAACTTCTCAACCTCCTCAAATTGCATCCCTTTGGTTTCAGGAACCAGCAAGTAAATGGCTATAAGTCCAATGACAGAAATGCCAGCAAAGAGGAGGAAGGTGCCAGCCGAACCCAGA